GCACGACGAGAATCTTCGAGAGAGATGGCGTTTCACCCGCGAGTTATTAGCAAAGTTCTCTCAATGCGCGAGAACCATCTTCTTAATTATGGCTGTTATATTCTTAGCGAAAGTTTCTAGGATTTCAGATTCCTACGATCCCCCCGCGATTGTTATCTCGCGTAATGAACTTTCTTCTCCTCTTTCCTTCACTAATAATCGAACTTACCGCACGACTTTCGCTCTTCAGCTTTTTGCAACGTGTTTCAACTACAGGTTTAACAATAATTCGTATTTCGAGTGGTTTGTAGTCGTTTGTAGTGCTCGTAAACTGATTAGTTAGATCTTTTACATACTTCCTCTTGAACGTGACGCACTGCTGTACCAACAATAAGCGACTCTGTCGGTTGTCTCTTGGAACGTGAAAGTCAAAATTAATGGAGACGGACTTGAGATTTTCTAAAACTTTCTACGTTTTCTCGAGACTCGCGTACATACCTGTATACGCCAATTTTCCAATTTCACGAATTCACGAATTCAGTGTTGGATCCGCTAGTAAGTGATCGAGTCCGAGCGGCATAGTGATTGATTACAAACGGCCCGCGTTAACAAGCGTTCGTTTCCGCGGAGAAACGTTCAATTGGATGGGAATGCACGGTGTGTGTGTGTGTGTGTGTGTGTGTGTGTCGGTGTACGCGATTCGCGGTGATCGTTGTTACAAATCTGAAGCGTGGCGTAGAGTTCTCACACGTGTTGTATCGGCGATCACCCACGACTGCCACTTGGCGCCCCATTGTGGGCCGGCCGTTCGCGGAACCGTTGCGCGTGGACACGCGATCCCCGCGATGCGAGCACGATCGAAACTATCGATATAGGAGTGCATGGATGAGAGCTCGACTAGCAGCCGAGAGCGTCCTTCTCTTCATCATCGGCACCGAGCAACCGAGTTCAGGCGAGGTATGCGCGGCGAACAGTTAAGTGTAGGCTCTCTCCGTTGAAGGGTTCGCGAGCACAAGCCGGCAGAACGTTGTATAATGATCGGTAAGAGGTCGCGTCGAGCGAATCTGCGGACGAAGAGACGAACGGGGGGAAAGCCGGAGATAGCCGATAAGTAGAAAATCGATGATTCGGAGGCATGCTAATTCCAGGTATACTACCTACCCGATTATCATGCTCTCTCATGACGGTGCTGCGCTCGCCGTTGGCATTCATACAACGAGATATCGCGGTCCAAGTCAACTATATGCACGCGCTTGATGACACTGCGCGGTCCGGTCGCGTTACAGCGTGAAGGAAAAACAAAGGAGAAAAAAGTCACGTTCTAGCTCTAAAATTGACACGGTAGGGTTTAAACAAAGCAATATCTCGATACGTTATCTCGTGGACCATGTTTCGCCTGCGTTCCGTTAGGTTGCAGGCACCGGAGAACAGCGGAGGAGAATTCAATAAACATAAGGCAGCGACGCCTTAAAACTCGTATTAATTCGCGGTATCAAAGTCAGTTGGTTGGTGCGTGCTGTTGGGTTACAGGTAACCTCGCTGTTGGCGTTAATATAACTAGAAATCGTGGTTAAGTCCGTCCGCACGAGAGCTTGATGGAAGTTTATTTGCTCGCGTCGTGGCAGCCTCTTTCTATTCTTATGCTCGATACCAATAATCCGTACGCTACGCGTTTATGCGCTCGTCCGTGAAATATATCGGGTTAGCGGTCCTCTCTACTTACGCCATTTGCATTCGCGTATACTTACATACACGCGTATCGTCCTCTCGATTTTCTTCCTTTGTTTTCTTTGCCTGTCGACCGTTCGATAAAGGGAACGATTGTTACCGGTTTATGCCGCTACATTTTTAGCGCGACTCGTAAATTCAAACAAATATCGCACGCTCTCGCACGAGCATTGCGCTCTTAGTTCTTGATGCCGGATCTGTTTCGCTTGACATATTCGCCGTTTACTTGTTTTTATTGAAACAAAGAGAAAAGAAAACACGTTCTGTCACCTTGCTCTATGATCGAAACTTGTGTAGATCCTTTTTCTTACGCACGATTCAGGTTTCTGATGGCAGAACAATTGTTCTTTGGAAATAAACGTTCGTAATACTGGGTTAAATGCGTAATCTGTCAAGAGCGGTGGAGAGAGAAGCTGGAACACAGGACGATTACGTGATATCGGTCCCGAAGAAATAGAAGGCCCAGCGAGAGGCCGTTCCCGCGGGGCTAATTACGCGAGGCAAACTGTAATTAATCCCGTTTCGAGGAGCTTGTACACCGGTTCGGTTCATTGTCAGGATTTACCGGGTGTCTCCCCAGCGATCGTCTCTCTTGTCTTGGCGTGCACGCGTGCACCCCGATCTTTTGTCGGCACGGCCGCGTATAAAGGGGGATCGAACCTAGAGAAAGAGCGAGACGGAGGGAGAAAAAAACACGGGTCTCGCGGACCCAAAGGGTGCCCCCGCCTTTTGATTCGAAACCGAGCGGACCCGCTGAAAAAGAATGAATGGACGAGGGAGGATGTGCGTCAGGCGCTGCTTTTTCTTTCCTGGCGTCTCTCTTCCTCTGCCCTTCCTCTACCCACCCCTCCCGTCGTCCTATCGACGCACACACGCGCTTTAACTCCTTTTGTCCTCTGATCCTCGATCAAAATTAGCTGCCTTCCAGCCATCGCTTTGTTTTCTCTCTGCACGGGCCCCGCCTCAAAAAACTACTTATTACGCTAATTATACGCGCTGCTCTGTACAATCATCCCTCCTCGCCCTTCCTCCTACTCTAGGCCGTCTGACCCTCTTATTCGGTACGGTAGCGCTTGTCTGCGATTACCGCCAACTGTCGATTCGTCCCTGGTGTCGATTAAATCCGGTATTTAGTCTCCGCGATGGATACTATGTAACCTCATTGATTCCCTTCTTCCCTTTTACCGCTACCTCGGCCGTCCTCCATGAATTTAATGACCATGGTGTACACCGCGCAGGATTAGGGTAACGAACCTCAGTCCTTTGCGTATTAATTCTCGCGTATTAAAAAACAGAATGGCTTCCTCTGGCATATAATCTAACGTATGTGCACAGTATGTGTGCTTTCGCGAAGCGTGAATTCTATTAACATTCTATTATTGGTTTGTTTTAAATTTAGACGATGCGAAATCTGCGCATTTATTTGAGAGCTGTTAATTCAAGAACAGAGAAGTTTCTTCTTTAACGACAGTCAGAACGAGGAAACTGCTTGCAACAAAAATTAAAGAAATTACAAGAGCGGTGGAGTCGAGGAAGCAATCGAGTAAATTCACAGTAATTTTTTAATCGTTCGAATCCTTGTTCGTTACGAATTTGACCGGTTTCACGATGCCGTAGGTTCGATATTGGTTAATATTTTTGGCTTCATCAGGCCATCGATCACACAAGTGACTTGTATTATTGTTCCAATACTCACTTATTCGATCCTTATTCGTACACGTAGTCGTCGTATTGATAGAATCAAAACCGGAACGTGCATCTGTTACATTATATATCGGTGCGTTATAAAGAATTGACCGAGCGCGGTCGATTCGACGGCCGACATTTTCCTCGACTAATTTTCCACATGCACAGACGCTCATTATTTCCGTAGAATTAATTCATGCGGCTGGTATGACGTGACTTTCAATGTCTTTTTCCCTTTCTCCGCTCGCGTACAGCTTGTCTCGGTCGTGTAATCACACTCCGAACGATAATGGCCGTGATGAGGGGTTAAAGAAGGGTGAAAACGTTGCCGCGACACCCCCGAACTCGTCCCGCGAACGTTAATTACTGTGTTTAGGGATAATTACGAGGCTGGCCCGGTTCGTGCGTTGCTTATTCGTCGTCGTATTCTGTGCCGTATCCACTATACTCGATGAAGTCGGTGTACGTACGAGTTCGTTTCAGCATTAGCACGCAAGTACCTACATTGGGTCTACATTGTATGTACACACGCACGTACACGTGGCCACATGCGATCCGTAAGCAACGCGAGCAAAGCTGCAGATGCAGTCTTTGTGATGCTAATGCACAGTTTGCTAACACTGCATTGCCATCTCCCTGTACGCAGCGAGACGAGATACGTCTCTGATCTTTTCGTTTTCTGTTTCACTCTTATCTCATACGATGTACAGATATAGATACATTTTTAAGCATGTCTTAATTTATTTTTTTGAGTATTTGAGGTTCTGCAGTTTTAATTATTGAGGGGTTTAATACAAGAGGCAGCTAGACTGTGAAATATAAAAAAAAAAAAAAAAAAAAAA